TCGAAGAGAAATGTAGAAATGTGTTAAGGGAACCGTGTGTCTTTCTGTTCTATGCGACGCGCAACTTTAGCTAAAAAAGAGTTGAATTGCCACGAATTGAAACGAAGCTAGAGAGAGACGTCTTTTCTCGACGTCTGAGCTGATAATTGTAAAGAAACTTAGCGGAAGTGCAACTTATTGATAGAAAGAAGATATCGAAAGGAAATATGTCTTCCGTTCGCAGTACATGACTTTACAAGATGGATAAACATTAAGAATTTAAGCTACATTAACTCTCGTACAGTGGAAAATGACTTGATGATTGTGCCGCTCGTTGAGAGACTTTCGACTTGGCGTCGCGCAGCTGTATTTCCCAGTTACCGACAAGGTTAACGTAATGATAATGATTGCCAATCGCTAATGCACAGCTATGAATGTATAGTTAATCAGCGGCATTCTCTTGCAAATGAGACTTCTGCCTTTCACGCTCCGTGTAAAAATGGTGATGTGTAATGATAAACGGAATACGACGGCGATCGCACGATCGCTAACGATCTTGCGCGAGTAGGAGGTCGAAAGGGCCGGATTACTAACTTGCGTAAGCGAGATTACGATCGATCGTCTGTTGTTTCTTCTTTTCAGGTTAAATTCTAACAACCATCGCAAGATGAACATTCATCGGTAAAAGTCCATTACTTTGTTACTATCCGAGATTCTTTGAAATCTGAAGCCCATCGATATTTGCCCATAGTTGAAATTTTCGAGACATTTCGCGAACAGACCTCCGTTAAAAAAAAAGATTCACGCGACATGATCGATGCAATGATCCTGAAAGAAAGCATGAAAGCTTTCTCGCCCGTCCTGGCGTAAGGGAGAGTCTGATGCGAGGTAATTATAATTAAAAGTACGCATTGTTCGGTCGGATCCCACGAGAGTCTTCTTCCGGACGTTTTCTCACGATGTTCCACGGACGGTCCTTCATCCGTGATCTACATCCTCTGGAAGATCCGAGTGAAATTACGATTGTTCGGAGTTAGAAGAGCTCCGTATACGGAATTTGTCCGTCAAACGACACACACACACACACACACACACACACACACACACACACACACACACACACACACACACGAATAGTCACAGTAATTGCAAACATTTTCTGGATGTCAACATATGCCTTCCGTTAAAGGTCTATGTTCTAACTGTGTCATGGAGAGAGAAGTGTCCGATACCGAAGGAGTGTTTTCCAGGAGACTCCTCAGCAACTGGGCTGAATTGCCGACGACATTGAGACGTCGGCAGGGACACCGTCCGGATATTTTAAATCAGTTCACTGATTATTCCGAGTCCTCGGAGAATGAATTTCACAAATTTGAGCCGAAGGCTTTCAGCAACGTTCAAAGAATCGTGCGTCGTTCCGAATTTCTGCGCAAATTCGAATCCGGTGATTTTGCTCGGAAGGATATATCGGATCCTCGGAAAGATACGAAGGAACGCAGATTGACCCCTGAAAGTCCTTTCAGTCGTCTAGACGAAGGTTATTGGAAGCCCTATGAGATTCAAGATTCAAAATTGCCTTATCGGAAGAAAGGTCATTTCATAGGTAGGCATGAAATGAGGAATCTCTCCGATGAGGACCGCAAGACGAACTCTCCCGACAGTCTTCTGATGAAGTCTTCAGAGTCGGAATTAAGCAGCGACGAATACGGGCATACCGACGATTCCGGAGCGTTTCTAGAACAAGCATCTCACGCGGATAGACAACCCAAGGCAAAGAGAAACAGCTTCATCAAATTTTTCGCGAAAGACAATAGCAAAGAGAAGAAGAAGCTGGATACTGAACATCTAGATGTAAATAGGAATGTCAGACAAGGCTCGGAACTTTTCAGAAAGGAACCCCCCTTCGGTCAGCAGAAGTTTGAATACGAAAACATTCCTAGGATAGATGTATCCAGGTTGGACCAGAAGACTTTCCTTCATCCAATCGCACGAGCGAACGATCGCCAGCCGACCATCGAGCAGCTCAGAATCGAGGAAGGCTGTGAGTTGAGAAATTCCAAGAATACGACAGCCTTGAAGAATACTTGGGAAAAGAGGTCGATTCAGCAAAAGCCAAAGGATGAGGAACCAAGGACAAACGATAATCTGATTCAGGAGTTCTATGACGGCGAGCAGGTTATCGTGCGAACTAATGGCGAACGTAAAATGGCGACGATGGAGACTATCACGGAGGAAAACGCAGACGCAGGGAGTAAACTGAGCGTCCGGGAAATACTGAAGAGATTCGAAGAACTCAGAACACAGACCGATACTGTGGCAACGTACAATGACAACGAGATGAATGAAGACAAAACAAGCGATAAGACGCTCAACACCATACAGGAAACCTTGAAGAAATTGGATGAGAAAATCAAGAACTATCAGGTTGCGATTCTATTAGTTTATTATTATTTAGGAATCTGAGCGTTCGAGGTTTCGCTTCGAGGGGATAAATTAAATCAAATAGACTGTTAAATGGAAGCAAATGGAGCGCGAATGTGTCGTATCATAGTTAATAGGCCCAGGTGCGCGCAGGAAGATACAAGTAAAAAATCTTATATTAATCAAGTGACGTAACGGTACTTGACTTTTATCGGCAAGTAACTCGCGTTTCTAGTAAACATCTCAAGGATGTCTCGAATCTTTCTTTTTTTATTTACTCTTTTATGAAGAAAAGAGTTTTATTAAGCATCTTATTTATTCTGATTGATGGAAAAGAGAAAAAAATATGAATATTCTTCAAGATGGATCGTCGTTCAAGGTTGTTTCCTAAAGTCGATAGATGAGATAACAATTGAGAAATTAAATTGTTGTTATTTTATAATAAGTAGATGAAATGAAATAAATTAAACGCTATATTGTAAAAGGAAATTATTATTATTTATTTTATTGGTAGTGTGAGAAAATAAATTTATAAGAATAAATAGACCAATAATATTCTATTGCATATAATACGTTTTTCAGATAATAACCATATAAATTTGCACATAATTAAGGTGTTTTAAAAACTTATCAATTACATTTTCCAACATTAATAATTGTAACGAAGAATTTCAAATAATAAATTTCTTTCCTGGAAGTGGTCACCTACGTCGTAGTGATCCTATCCTCTAAACATAATTCATGCAATTAGTCAAATTTTCGAGTTCTTCTATACTTATCTTTATAGTTAATAAATACATATTTCTTGCAAATAAATGTGCAAATAAAAAGGAGGAGTTTCTTTTTGCAAAATAGTGTTTAGTACATTTCATTCTGCCCACTCGTTAGAAAATAACAGGTATTTAGTTTCAGCAACTTCCTGATTGTCATCTTGTACAGTCGTTTTTGCAACGTTTGCCACTTGTATCTCATCGTGTACCTCCACCCCTCCGCCTTGCACTGTACTTCGCACCTCTTTATATCACAAGTCTTCTTTATGACTCGATAATAACAGCAGCCATCGCGGAAATCGTTAGACCGTTGCGCTTATTATGTGTCGCAATATGGCTTACTTGGACGCGCAGCGACCGCATCTATGTCTTACGTCGCGTCTCGGTGCATTAAACGATTATGTGGGTCAGGGTCGACGTCTGCTTATTCTGCTCGCGCACATTCTGGTCTCTTCGATTCCAAAGTATCGATATACCCGGTGTTACCACGCCAGGAGAGCGGAGATGACAAATGCGGCTTAACAACATCACGATCGACTCTTCCAATATTTAACTGGCGATACATTCTCTCGATAGTTTGATAAGGGAAAAGTGGGAATGAAATTGAATTTGATTATTTGTTTTTATATATATATATATATATATATATATATATATATATATGTAGATTTATATTGTATATTTTGGTGTAAAATATTTTGATATAAAAACACATTGCTCGACATCTTGCTGACAGTTTCTTATCGCAAATATATCCTGTCTGGACTGGGTCTGATTTTATCTTTAGTTTCATCAGATTTCTCTCTGAAAAACCAATTAATATCGATTTTTTCCATTTTTCCATTTTTCCATTTTTCTATTTCGATATAAGTAGCTTTGTTAGCTGTCACGTCGATGGACCATTTTTCACATCCGTCAGCAAGCATAATTCATAGATGTTTTTACTTGCGGGAGAGAGAGGGAGAGGGAGAGGGAGAGGGAGAGAGAGAAAAAGAGAGAGAAACGGAGAGGGGAAACGTCATGTAACACGCGAGGCATCGGGTTCCTACCAGATATCGAAAAAGCCGTCATCAGCTTGTATACTTGAGGATATTAAGAAATTGCAGGATGCAATTACCTACTTTCCATGGCATATTCTCGTAATATCAACGAAAGCGGAGAGGAGCTAAAAGGAATGACCCGGCGCTTTCCTGACGCCTCTTTCGCCGAAGTATCGATGTCCGCACGGACGGTAGGAACGTTTCCAAGAAATCACAGCGTAGCTCGGGAGCCGTCGTTAATTTGCGCGTCAACACACGCGCCAATCTTTCTTTTCGTTTTTTTTCTTTTTTTTTTTGCGTGGTAAGGCTTGAAAAGAAAGAAACGCCTACACCTGATGGTCGTGTCATGCCACATTCCTATACCTAGTTGCGGTACACGACCGGCGGGGAGAAACCCGTTTATTTGCGTTTTAAGATCGAGATCGGCTAAGTTTCGTATCGCGCTACAACGCCGGGGAAAAGGAGGAAACGCATGAGTTTGCTTGATAATTCGTGAATGAGATTACTTCTCACGATTACTCCCGGTACATCCCGGTCGATCGCGGAAGTCTTGAATCGCGATTCCTCTAGATTTTTAAAAAACAATTCGTCGCTAACAACGATTTATAATCGAAATAATAGAAAAAGTGAACGTAAGACCAAAAAAAAATATATATATAAAATAAAAAACAATAAAAAACATACAAAAGATTTCGATATTATATAGATTGATTAAAAAATTGAATTTTTTCAAAATAATAAATCAAAAGCATTATCGTTATCATGCTAATTATTTGTTTGATCTTTGCAGGTCGATCAGAAGCCACATCAGAAAGTTAATCATCACGAAAATCACGTGTCTCAAATCACAAAGACGATTCAGTCGCAGGCGAATCATGCGAATCATATTCAGCCCCCCCACAATCATTCCAATCACGTAATTTCCGAGCATGAGAATCACGTACCGATCGGTCGCGTGCCGAACCACGTGTCGGTCATCAACCAAGCGAACCATCAGAAAAACCTGCAAAACCAGCGGCTGAGCCCGAGCCAGGAGTGGCGGCAGCCGGATGACAACGTCCGACTCCAGGAGGACGGCATTTACGAAACCGGACCGGTGGTCAACGACGGCAAACATTCCCTCTTGCAATACGCCATGCTGAATTTCCGTCAAAGCACAGAAAAGTGAGTTTCAATATTTCTAAAGCAATTTTAAGCACAGCGTTTGCGATTCTGTTTCTGAACATTCAAATAACTTGAAAGAAGTCAGACACAGATTTGCTCTCAAAACATTAATTTTATTTTTAAAAAAATATTAAATATACCTGAAATGGTAATGAACGTAGGCTGTTGGACTTTAAAATTATATTTATTATTGCTTACAATTAAGAGAAAAATGATAAACATCTGTCTAACTTAGAGAAATTGCAAGGAGATAAGGCGTCCAATTAAATAGCGATCGTTCCTTTCTAATTTCTGTTTGGCGCCAAGTGCACGCGCAAACTCGTCGATCGCATGGAAATTATAATGCGAGGCAGCCATTAACGGTGTTACGCAAGGGAGTCGTGTTGAGAAAGCATAACGCGCGATATCGTTTCGACCGTGCACCGCGTGCGGTGTCTCTCCTTTTCCCGTATCGCTCCTTTTCTCGTTCCTTATTCGCTCTGGAGGAGCTCTGGACAGTCGCACGGTTTATCGCACGCGACACAAACGAAACAAACTCGGAAACGGGCGGATTAACAAATGTACACATCTGGCAGATTCGAAATGTTGAAGACGGCGGACGGATCGATTAGCGGGTCCCTCAAAGTAATCGAGTCGTTGAAGAGCAAGAAGAAGAACAAAAAGGGTAAGAGCCAGCAGGACGGCACCGAGTGGACTTGGAAAGAACAAGTGGATCTTGTCAAATATTCTACTGTCCCCATTGAACAGAGCTTGCTCAGATTGGACGCGGATCTGAGCGTCCTAGCCGTGGAGTGCTTCCTGTGTCTAATGAGATACATGGGGGACCAACCATTGCCACCTGAAACCAGCGAAGTCAAGTGCGTCTACACTATCCTCATGGTAAGAGGTTCAAACTAAACGTCGAACTAAAGTCGGAATTATTCTTGATTTATCTTTGACCAAAGGAGACTTGAGTAAAGATTGAAGTTAGCTTAAAAAAAAAAAAAAACAAATTTTATCATTGGAACAATATTGAATTCTAAATTGAATTCCGCAGTATTGAATTCCGCATTAGTACGAGACAGATATCTTGCGTTTTACATTTAATTTATGGCTAATTTTGATGTTACATTGGGCAATGTCATGTTCAAAATAAATATTTTTAATGCCTGCCGATCATATCCCAGCAATTATGCCACGAGTTTTAATTAGAAATGTTGACGAAAGGGCATCAGAAGAATTTAACTGGAAAGTATCGGAGATACTAAAGAATATAATTGCGCCATCATATGGATATTTATGTTTATAAACTCGTATTAGATTTGATCTGCTATTTTCTGAGTTTCTTTGCCTTCTGTAAAAATGTAAATACATGTGAATAATCCATATTTCTTCTGGGGCGATGAGTCACTTTTGCGTATTGTTGCGTAAGTTTCTTCGGTGGCTTCATCTTTAAAAGTCCTTAGTGAGGAACGGAACTTGCCGATTATCCATTATTATCTATCATTAGCCTTGTCTCTTCTCGCGTTACTAATTTTAGCTACGTCGCTACGTCGCCCATTCTTCTTTCCTTTGCACCGAAGGACACGGTCCTTCTGACAATAACCATATCTTTGCGCTGTTCCGTCTACAGCACTGTCACAAATACGAGCAGCTGCGCGACGAGGTTTACTGCCAGTTGATGAAGCAGACGACCAATAACAAAAGCCCGAATCCGGAGAGCTGCCAGCGTGGTTGGCGGATCTTCAGCATCATCGCTGCCTATTTTACCTGTAGCGAGGGCCTGCGACCCTATCTGACCAAGTACCTCGAAACGGCGGCGTATGACAAGCGTCGCGCTTATCACGGTACCGCGATGGTATGCCTGCAGAATCTAAGAAAGACCGTGAAATACGGTGGGCGCAAGAACGTGCCCAGCGTGGAGGAAATCATGGCGATCAGCGCGGGGAGGAACGCGAAGAGGCAGATTTATCGGCTGCCCGGTGGCACCGAGCGAGTCATTAACACGAAATGCACGACCGTCGTGCAGGACGTCATTGAAGAGATGTGCAACGTCATCTCCGTGAGAAACCCGCACGAGATGGATGAGTTTTCGCTGTATTGCATCGTCGACGGTGATGCGTTTACCATGCCGTTGGCCAGGGATGAGTACGTCTTAGACGTGACAACGGAACTCCAAAAAAATCATCAAGTGTTCTACTTGATATTTTGCAGGTACGATGGATGGAATACATTGCTACGACAGCTCATAGCTGTCAAATATTCTTTTCGCGATAAGTTTTCAATTGAAATTATACAATTTCTTTCGCAGACAGATCTCTTGTATTTGTACAAGAATATTTTCACTAACTGATGGAATTATTAGAAATTCTAATATAGTATTTAAAACAATACGTCTGAGTATATAATTATAGAGAATAATAAAATAGACTTATTTTATTTTACACTTTTGATAAAGAACTTTACATAGATAAATATTATTCCATTTATTATATTTAATATTGAAATATTGAAATTCCTGATAATTTCAATAAATAATTTTTGGTTATTAAATCCAAAGAAATGACGTTCTGGAAGAATATAATTCTTTTACAATGAAAGTAATTTTTCTTATATATCTTATTTGCGTGCACCAGCATTTAAAAAAATAATTTTTTTACTTTTGAAATTTTTTTCAAGAAAAAATTGTTTTAACATACAAAAAAATATCAGAAATTATTCAATGTCTTTAACTAGGAAAACCAACTCAATTAGTATTATTTGTGAAAGTGTATCTAAAAAAGTATCATCATGTTGTTTATCATGACAGATATTTTGGAGTACAAAGTAATCATTTTATGAAATTTTTTCCCCTTTTCCAGATTATTTATCTTGATACTTGGTAGATTAATAGTAGTTAATAGATTAATTTAGCAGAATGTCGGCAGACTGGCAACAGATTTAATCAGAAAATATATTAGCAGACTGATCTCATCTGAGGTCGCATTTTGTTTATGTTTTGTTGGCAGAACTTATTGGCATTCTATAGCATTATTCGTTTTGTCTATCTCGGAGCAAACCCAAGCAAACCTATCATTAAGACTGAGTTCCGATATTCACTGACGGTACTGAAAATTTATAATATAGACCTGAACTATATATTTTCAGTACTGGCAGCCCGAATATCGGAACGCAGTCTAAGTATGCCGACGTCGTTCGGAGCGACTCAGAGCAGCTCCCGAGAGACAAAACAAGCGATGCTTATGTTATGTAGGCAAAAATACGAGCAGCCTATACTCTGCGTATAGGCAATTTTTGTTATCTCTATATATATATATATAGAAATTTGTTGCTTTTTGCTGTTAAAAGTTGATAGCATACTCTATTTAAAACTCTATCTCTGCAGGTTTGGTTATCGAGGTAGATATAATTAATTTTGAATAATTTTTACCATACATTTTTCAAAAACGCAGAAATTTTTAACATTGTCTTTTCTCAGTGATATATTGCTGAAAATAATGTTTTCTAAAAAACATTCTTTTCTAGATCTGTTTGGTACTATCCTCTGCGGCTGGATGCAGCGTTGTATATAGAAGTCGTATTTAATCAAATCGCTCCCGATTACTTGGAAGGACTTTTACTAGTTCTACCTGGAGAACATTTACCTCAGGAAATAATTGTGAGTACGAACAACTCGAAAATTAAAATTAACTGAATGAAATTAAGAAAAATAGGCAATCCAATTAACGATTTGCGTGTTCTGTAGTATGACATGGCGCAAATAGCGGCACTATTGCACAGAGCAGCTGACATGACCCATGAACCCGCGACAAAAGAGATTAAATATTTGTTGCCAAAACCAGCGCTCAGTTTAAGAGAACCCAGGCCGCAACAGTGGTCCAACATGGTTCAACAAGCTTGGAACAACGTTCAACACTCTTCGGCAGCTGTTTGCAAGGCACAAGTGCTCGGTAAGTCGAATCGAAATTTAGAATCGATATCTTATTGGAAAACTTTCTGCGTTATTGAATTAGATTTTATTAATAAATTATAAATATTATGAATAATATTTCCATAAAACAAGCGTTAGTTATATAATTTATTTAATATTGTATATTAAAAAAGTGTCACGTGGCTGCTTAAAAACGATTCTTTAAAGGGAATGCTGAATTTATCAATAGAATATTGATATTTTTCATAAAAACTTCTTGTTATTTTTATAGTATAGTTTTGTTTTTATAGATTTGTAAATCTTTCTTCATAAGTTTATGCATTAATTATGGAAAACGATTTTCAAAACTATTTTTATCGAATTACATGTTTTTTTGCGTGAATTTCATGTCGAAAACGAAAAAAATCTTTTAATTTAAATTCTTTTACTAATTTAATTTAAATTCTTTTGCTTTACAGCGTCTAGAATTGTCAATTCATTTATATTAAATTTTACAATCTGTATACTTACAAAATTGATATTTCCAAACAAACAGATTACGTAAAGAAATAACGTTTACATTTTAGAATAAGGCTTAACACCTAATATAACACAAAAAGTTTATATGAAAATTTGTGCATGTGTATTCGTGTACAAACATATGTATGAGCATGTATATATAGATGTATGTTTAGATATGCATATATAAACGCTCATTTCTCCAGAATCTCTTTAAAAAAAATTAAAAAAGCACTTTGGTCATGTAAAAATAAACTATTAATAATTATTAATAACTATTAATAACACTAAACCATTTTTTTTAATAAAAAAGTTTAAAAATAAAATTTTAAATAACTAAATAACTTAACACACTGTAAGAGTGTTTATTATATATAAATATATTAGACTATAAAAATATTAGACTTGATTGAATTAACTTTTAATTCATTTTTAAATAACATATTATACAACAAGTAACATTCAATACATAATGCTATTACTGTTTTTCATACACTATATAATATCAGTAAAGCAATATTTAAAATTCTATAATAATATTTTAAAATTCCTTCAAAGTTGTTTTGATATTTACAAGTGAGAATTTAAATTATAGCAGTCACATAAAAATTATCATAGCAAATGGATTGAAAATATATGCATGTATGATCTTTTTCTTTAGAAATATTGTCGAAGTGGCCATTATTCGGTTCAAGTTTCTTCGCTGTAAAAAGAGTACCTGAGGGCAAGGAAAAGAGTGCTGATCATATCCTCGCTCTCAATCGACATGGAGTGCATTTCATAGATTTGATCACTCATGTAAGTGGTTCTGTTTCTGGACATTCTTATTTTCTTTTTTTTTTTTTTTTTTTTTTTTTTTTTTTTTTATTTAAATGGCATCTTATGATTTAATGGCGTCTTGCGCTTTTCAGGAGACACTATACCATTATCCCTACTCTGAAGTGATTTCCACCAGAAAGGTCAAATCCGAGGAGGGCACGCTCTACCTCGACATGAAGTGCGGCAATCTGATGCAGCAGCGTATCACTAGGCTGCAAACGGAGCAGGCCCACGAAATTTCTCGGCTTATCAGGCAATATATCACCATGGAGCAAAGGACGTCCAACGCTCAAGGTGGAGTCGGCATCGGGCTCGGCATGAGATAAACTTCCTCATAATACGGGGTTCCTCCTTCGCGACTGATATTCGATTCGAATTAGTTAGTCTGCAGAGCGGTAGCCAAGTTAAATTCTCGATCAATGTATCGTAACGTTAGTTGAGGCCACGAATGTAGCTGTTAGTCAGTATGAATGATGATATTGTTCTTAATGTGTGGAACTAACCTTGAAAGTCAAGCTATATCGGATACCAGGTAGGATAAGCTCGCTTTAATGATCCGGTTTGTACCTCAATGGATGATGATACAGCTAATCCGTCTTCAAAGATATTTGTAGAACTCGCTGGAAAGGAGGATCATGAGGAAAAAGAACGAATGCTCAAGTATCTAAGCTGTTCATATCGGACATATGACATGAAACGATGGACTTGTATAGCATTTATTTATATATTTTAAAGAGTTCATATATATATATATCATATATATATATATATATATATATAAAACAGGACGAGAAATACGCGAGTAGAAATTACATCCATCACGGCAGTGTAATATTAACACTAATATTAACACACGTCCATGATGAATGTTGAACAAATGACTAACCACGCAGCGATTATATGTTATCGGATTATTAATAACAATTGTATGTATATGCATATAGGAATACGAAATGTGAAGTTATTAACTTTGTATTGAAATTTTTACGTGTAAACAGAGGTTATTATTTCCCGACTTTTATCTCGTAATCCTGAGACTACCGCAAGTCTGCAAAGTAAAACTTTCAAAAATTATAGATGTATAAACTGACAAAAGTCATCAAAAAATATTTAATTGGAAACAATAGGGTAATTAAGAATCAGCGCTGTAAATGCACAATTAACATTTTAACACCGTTTACAGCGCTGATTCTTAATTGCCTTATTATTTTCCATTGTTGTAACACTAAAAATCACTCTTGTTAACATTTATTAATTATTAAAATCATTGCAGACGTGATGTAGCTATCCTTCTTATTTATTTATTTTTATTATTATAATTAACTTAAATGTAAATGCATTGGAGCATTTCGCACATGTCTTTGATAATGGCCATTAAGTCCAAAATTTATATTCTTATTATTTCCTCTTATAATTTAAATTTTTTAATTGAATCAAATAACCTAACATTGAGAATACATACATACATAAAAAAAATTTCTATTCTATTTTAATTTTAAATGCAATTAAAGTTAAGTGCAACTTATTAATTCTAAATATTCTTGGACTTGATTAGTTTCTCTTTTCAATTGTTATCATATACAAAAATCTCAGAAAATATCAAAGAATATATAATGTTGATGATAATTATATTCTACTTTAATCCTTTCACGGCTAACTTAATTATGGAAAAATTCAATGAATCTCATAAATGTAAAATAGCAGAATATGGCTAATATTTATAAGATTAATGAAGAAAACTTCTAAAAAGTTTTAATTAATAATTTTACTAATTAAAAAAAATAATTGATATCCTTTCTGAATTAAAGCTGGCCAATAGATCAATAGATAATTAATGAAATGACCAAAAATATCCGCGTATGAAAGGGTTAAACTCTACTGTGTTCCGGGCTAGGTTTTGGTGTACTCGACTGAATCTCCTGCGGCCAGTTACTTGCAGTATGTCGAACATATCCTGGATCCGTCGGCGAGGACGGTGTCCTTGAAGTTTGCGTGCCAGTGGTTTTCAGTACGCCAAAATATTCCTCTAACATCTCGATCTCATCTTTGGATCTTCTAGATCGATAGTCCTTAGGCGGAGGTGGCACATTGAAGGACACGTCGCGATGATGGCTCTTTAGGATTCCCGATGAGCCGCGCATTCTGATTGGCACGTTATCATACTGGCTGTTGTCCGAATATCTGTTTGCCATTTGAATAAAATATTATTATATTTTTGGAATCGGCACACTATGCGTCAGACATCTTGAATCATAATGTCAGGAATGTAAGGAAGCGAACGATTTCCAGCGATTCACGCCTATATAAATGACTCTTCATTTCTATCCTGACTAAGACAATCGAGGTTCATAATTGTTTTATGGATATCAGAAAAGAATGGGAAATATGACACATATACGATAAAGATTATCTTGTATCAATCTTACGATTTCAATATAGGAAGTTTGAATCATTCTGAAGATTAAATCTTCAATTATTTCGTCAATTAAGAGAATTCTTAAAGAAATAGAAAAGAAGATTCAAACGTTTTAAGATTTTTCTTATTTTAAATATTGGATATTCGTAACTCGACCAAATGTGTGTTTTCAGTTCAATTTTTTTTATAATGTCAAATCATCTCACGCAAAAGGCGTGAGTCATTTGAATACTCAGGCGTTATGATATCCTGACGTGATCCAAGATAGCTGACATACGGCCGATGCTTAAAAAGAAATCTTCGAACCGAGGAATCGGCGGGAGGAATTCCCGGACGCGAGAAATCAGTACCTGTAGTTGTCGAGCGCCTCCTCGACAGCGTCTCGTTCGACCTTCATGATTTTCACACTCGGATTGACGATCCTCGCGAAGACCGGGTCTCCCTTCTCGTACTCCGTCGGAAAGCGCGGTGTGTCGATCTCGTCGATCGGCCGCTGATAGATGTCTCGGCTCTTATATGTTATCCTGGACTGCTCGATCCTGCTATCAGGATCGTGCACCGTACGCGGCACCTCGATCTCGCGGTACTTCTGCAAGTCGCGATAAGCGCGGCCGTTCTCGAAATTCTGTGCACGTTCCCGTGGCTCCTGATCACCGCGGAGCTCGCGATCATCCTGGACGTCCCGCGGGTGCACGGTGGTGGGTGATTCCTGCTGCGATCTCGTAGGATCGGAGCGACGATCATCCGATTTCTGGAAAGCATCGTTTACGCGACCGTTCTCGTCCTCGGGGATCTTGACGACGGTCGGTTTCTTCGTATCCTCGGCAGTCACCACTGGTGTCACCTGTCGCTTCCCTATTTTTTGAAATCCCATTGAGAAATCTTATTCACAAATATAAAGTAAATAAGAAATTAAATGTTAAATTAATGTATTATATAAATCCCAACAATTATACTAGAATCCTATGCGAAGAAAACATGGGATCCTATATTAAAAAATGTGTAATATTTTGTGTTAAATTTTCAACGTTTATATGTAAATTTTACACATGTTTATTGTGTAAACTGAATTGTTCTCTGTGTGATTTTTTTTTTTTAATTAACTTAAAATGTAAAATTATGAAAACAATTCTCAAGAAACATTAAACTAATAATAATTCGTTTTAATTTTACATAATAAATATAATTTATCTTCATTACAATGTAAATTGCGTTAATTTTGTTTTAAAATATTAATAAAGAAGAGTGATCAATTGTGTTAAATTAATAAAAAAAAATTTGAGCGGGCAGTCCAGTTTAGAACATGCGATATATTTAGCATAAATTTTTTTACTATAACGGGAACGGAATATACTATACAATACAGTAAATTAGAATTTCTTTTCAATATTCAATTTGCTCTCTTATTTATATATATTTAATGTAATGAGCTACTAATTTTTTCATAAAAGAGATATTTAACTGATCTAATCTTACCCAAATCTTTATCAATGATTCGTGCCTCGTCCTGCTTGTTTTTCTTGCGGGGCGGGCTCATCAACAAATCTCCAATAAACACCAACGCTGTGAGCAAGCACAACGCTCCTAAAACCGCGGCATTGTCAACCAGATCCTCAGGAACGCTGTCGATTGATGCGAGAGACAAGGCGCCGACTATCCCGAAGAGGATCACGCCCAATCCAAGCAGGAAAAATTCCTAAGATTCAATCGAGCTTGAAAAAAATCCGTTACACTTGCCTGATCTTACAATTAGCGTCGACGTAATCTATTTACGCTTTACGGCGCAGCCGATTGATTATGTATGAAAACTTATTACCCAATGACCTTACAACGAAAAGAAAAAAAAAAAAAGAATGGAAAAAAAGTAAATCGGTGTGCATGAAATGCATGTTATGTTACTCAGGGATTATTTGGAGTCGACGAGGAGTCAGTTACGCGTGCCGTCTGTTGGTGCCGACGGACTTACTCTCTTGAAAGAGAAATCAATGCCAGGAATGCATACAGGAAATGTACGCATTATACAGTCCGCTCAAGATCGGCTAGACCCAGCCTCAGTATTATGAGTCATTAAATGAGTTACATTACGTGTCGCGACTGACCCAAGGCTGTGGTTACGTGAATATTCTCGCGTTAAGAGAATATTCTTATCCTTGGCCCCCTCAATGGCACCTTCGCGCTACCGATTTTCTCACGCCACTGCCGCTGCGATTTATATGCGATATATACGCAGCGTGATATTTTCACTTTGCCAACCTCGGAATAAATTAAAACCGCTCGAGAAGGATCTCGACGTGCTGTTGAAACAAATCCTACTCCTGCCATCGTGTCGCTCCTGCGTCACAAGTGGAAGTTCCTACGACGGTCTATCTTCGCGGCGAAATGTTTTTGCTTCGGCCGATAGGATAATTCCGCGCAACGCTATGTATATTATTGCGGTATAAAGAGCGAGATAATTATCTTCAATTCCTTTTTTTTTCCAGTGAATTCTAGG